GGCGTGGGGGGACACACAGATACAATGGATGCATGTGCACCATGCCTTATTTCTTGAAATTTGTGGACCGACCGATGGATGGATGGATGGATGCCTTGCTGGGGCGGGGAAGAGGAAGTGTCAAGAGAGCTGATTACCATCACCAAGTGGTACCCCCGCCCCCGTCAACCCCGCACAGCGTGGCTGTCAGTGCTGCGCTGTGCTGCGTTGGCGGGGGCGGGCTGCCACTGTGACGGATGCAGCTCGATGGACGGATGGGATGGATGGACGGACGGATGTGGCAGGGTGTATGCTGTCGATTTATTGGTCCGTGGACGTGGGTGGCTGGAAGTGTCCAAGTGATCAAGTGTAAGGTCGGCCTGTGCGTGTGTGGGCATTTTATGTGGAGTGGGTGGGGTAGCGAGCGGCACACATGCGTGGCATTCATCCATGGGAGAGAGGAGGGGAGGGGAGAGGTACACACTAATGAATGGAGGGCTGCATTGGGTGGAGGAAGACGCAACACGCGCACTGACTTGGTCGTGAGTGGGCGTGGTATACCGATAAGTCGACACAGCAGTGGACAGAATGAATGCATCAACACAGAATGGCGAAGAGTGCGCAATGAATTCGATCCTTCATCGTCTGCAAGCTTAGCGCCACACGCTGCAACATCACACATGCAGGCAGCCATGCACTCAAGTAAAAAGAGCCATGCACTCACTCTCGCGGCGGGCCCGACACATCTGTCTCCCGCAACCATGTCTCAAGGACATCGCTGAGCTTCCTTGCCCATCCCGGGGATGTGGCGACATGCCGATGAGATCTCAGCAATCCGTGTGTCGCACATGGATAAGTATGATCGAAATGAAACAGACATTGATCGAATTCATCGCATTCCTGTGTCCCATCGATCACTCGTGCGTCGGTCCACGTACACAACTAGAGACACGACGAGTGAATAGAGAATGAAGGCAAAATGGATAGGCGAATGGACGGACGGACGGACGGATGGACGGATGCTGACTGACGGACCTGTATCAATGATACATAACATTGGTTCAGACAGACAGACATTGACAAACCGAACAGGCTCCAGTTCCCCATAGTTCTCCCAAGAATGCACGCAAACAAAGAGTTCACACTGCCATGTCACACATACATTCCATCTCACTTCAACCCCGTGTCATGCCATCTCAACCAAAAAATGACTTGCCAGTCATACTCAAGGACAAAGGCAACAGACCTCTATGTCCCATCGCTACCGCCCTGGGCAGAGTGGTGTCTGGGCTCGCGCTCCATGCAAACGGGCGACGTCTTTTTTGCCCCCGAATGCCCTTGGAATCACCGTTGAGTCTACTGATGGTCAGACAGACAGACACACGCCCGCACACATCAGTGTCGATGTCACCTCGTGTGTAGCGTACGTGGCGGTAGCGGCTTCAGAAGTTGCACGGTGAATGGATTCTCCTTCGTCTTGCCCCTACACACACACACACACACATACACACACAGTATGTCTGACTGTGGGGTGAGTGGTCGAGCGCGTACTCGTTGCCGAACTCCTCCTCGATGAGGTCAGTGTCCTGAGCGTCGAGATGGCCGATGAACTTGACGTCACCCGGACCGGTGGCCCCCGGAAGCACCTTCATCATCCATATGACCGACTTCAGGTCGCCGACGGTGTGGAAAGCGCCTCTCTTGATGAAGGGAGTCAACCCGAGGGTGACGACCGGTGTGGTATCCTCGGCATAACGCCACTGAAAGTACCGCTCCTCCTGCATCTCCACTTTCAACCACTTTGTGATCTTAAGGGCTAGAGAGAGAGTGCGTTTCACGCGGGGAGCGCAGTCGTGGGGGAATATGAGATTTTTGCAGTTGATCCCGTATGGTCGTCGTGACAATGACGGAACGATAATAGTGAACGTCGATATCCCCGCCCCTCCCACCCCGTCCACGGGAGGCACTGACCATTTCAGCAGACGCTCCGCGATGTCATGGATGAGCCAGATGTACGGGCGTGGTGGGCCATGCAAGATATGAACGGCCGTGATATGCATGGAGTTCATGGACTACACGGCGAGTTCTCAGCCACTCAATCGTCCACATGCACACACACACACACACGCTGGATGAATGGTTCTCTCCTCTCGCTGCCTGGTTGTCTGGTGTGTGTTCAGCCCCACTCAGAGCAATATGAGCGTGTCAGACCTTTTCCCGAACGAGGGACTCCAGGAGACGAACAGAGTCAATATCTTTGTGATCGGTATGTGTGGGCTCAGGGAGAGAATATGCCCGTTCCGTTTGCGTGTATGTGGTGCAGGCGGGCGCGTGCACCTTGCAGCTCATGCGGCTGCAAAAGCACAGCCGGCCCAACAAGCCATCCCGAAGATACCCCCGCCACCACACTGGGCACCCCAGCAATAACACCCAAAGGCAGGCGGTTGCGGGGCATGACTGACCTGCCTCCATGTTTATGTATCTCTCTCTCTCCCCCCCCTCTGTGTGCGTCAATCAATCCATCAGGTGTTTGTGTTCCGGGTGAGCCGGTCCACCGGCCGCTTCATCGACGACCCCGCCAACATACCGCCTAAAAAGCGAAAGAAGCTGCCGCCGGCAGGTCAGTGAGTGAGGGCATGAGTGCCTGCGGCATGTTGACTGACTGACCAACCCAACCCGGTTGTGTGTGGTGTGCATTGGTCTGTGTGCCTGCGCATCTGTCTGTCTGTCTGTCTGTCTGTCTGTCTGTCAGATCGTTTGCAGGAGGGTCCGGCTCCGTGGCGGCTGCTGCAGGTCGACGAGGAGGCGGGGGAGATCAACCAGATCACTGTCGAGATCTGCGGTGACACCGAGAGCCTCATCGTCGTCACCATGCGGGCACAGGTGAGGTGTCTGTCCACCCAACCACTCAATCACTCACTCACAGAGAGAGAGAGAGAGAGAGAATGGCCCTGTCTGTTGTGTCCGTGTTGCATAACGCCCGTCCGTCCGTCCGTCAATCCGTCAGGTGCGCATCTACCCGCTGCAGTTCATCCGTGAGAACCGCGACCCCATCATTTTCGACAACGTCTACACCAACGAGGACGACTCCACTTGGAGCATCTCGGCGGCCGCCCGCCCGCGGCCCTCACAGGGGCCCATCCTCGCCGTGGGCAGCAACGCCCACGTGGTCACTGAGTGGAATCTGAGCGGTTCTGAGGACCAGACGCCGCACCGGCTGGTGGGGCATGGCCACAACATCCCGTCTATCGCCTACTGCCCGGGGTATCCGGAGAGCTGCGACTATCTGGCATCGGCCTCGATAGATGGGACCTTTCGGCTGTGGTACCAGAGTGGGGCCACGTGGGGTGTGCGGTGCGAGGAGGGGATGGATGCGTGTGTATGTGTGTGTAGGCACGCTGCTCGTGGTGAGTGTTTGGGCATTTATCGCATCGCCGAGTACGGGTGGGGAATTCGATGGGTCCACAAAGGCGACATTCCTGAGGTACACTGACACCACGCACAGCCAACCATGACAGACACCTACACACTCCTTCGTCCTCCTACCGACCTTCACTCAGGTCGACCTCTCTCGCAGCCTCCGGCTGCCCCCCCGAATGCGGCTAGCATGGTCCTCCCTCACACGCACAGGGCCTCTGGCAGACATGGCCGGCCACCCACACCCGCCCCCGCCCCCGCCCCTCAGGGCGCCCGTAATGCGCACATCCAGGTGGCGCAGAAGGCCGCCAATAGCGCCCCTACCGCCTCCAGCAGCACCAGCAGCGGCAGCAGCACCATCGGCAGATGGTGAGTCTCAGCGACAGTCCTCATCGGCCATCGCGCGGTCGTTTTCGGAGCTGTCGAGGGACGGCGGTGGTGGTGGTGCTGGTGGTGGGGGTGGTCCTATCTTGATGTCCTCCGCTGCGTGTGGGGCGGCTGCTGCATCGGAATGAGATCCATCCGCTGATAGCCCAGTGGCTGGAGAGGTTTTCCAATGAGATGGAGAAGGCATACAGGCGACCCACCATCAGAAGGGCCATTGAAGAATGGGTGAGAAACACAGAGAGGAAAGGTGGTGTGGGAGGAGTGGCGTGCGCATGTAGTTTGTATTGGCTGCATGTGTGTGTGTATGTGTGTCAGAGGGGGAGTCAATCATCGTCTCTGCTGACCCGTCAGCAGCTGGGCAGCGAAATCGGCGACGAATACTCGTTCGGCCTCTTCATGGTGCGCACACACACATACACAACACAGGCCACCAGCAAGACAGCATCATTGTGATGCATGTGTGTGTGCAGAATCCCCAGTTTCGGTCGACGCTGCAGGCGGCCATCGAGTCCGAGCTGCGCGAGATGCTGCCCTCCGCGGCAGCCATCGCACACTCGTCCTCCTTCCCGGCCGCAGAGAGACATCGGGTGAGGCCATTGCACAACAGACAGATACAGACACGCTCACATACCTTTCCATGGATGGATGGACGGCTGCAATGACTGACTGAATGCAGGCTCGCCAGGCAGCAGCGGACAGGCTGCCCCCCTCCCTCCCCTCCACGCCCGAGACCACACCCTACCGCCCCCCCGACCACGGCCACAGCAGCAGCGACAGACACACACCTCCTCGGCCCGCTTCCGCACTCTCTCTCATCAACCCTTCAGAGCATGACCCTCTCAGCCCCACACACCCACCACCACCAGCATCGGATGAGCCCGCGGCAGACGGCGGCATCCATGAGCGGCGCTACTCGATCGTGCAGTTCATCGCGGCGCGGCGGGAGCACCAGGAGCGGCTCGTTGCGGGGACGCCCGAGAGGACAGACGCCGTCCCACACCCAACACCAGTGGCACGGGTGAGGCCAGAAAGCGATGCTGCCGCTTCGCCGGCACCTCGTGGCGACAACGGTGCAGGGAACACCGATCAACCAGGACAGGCAGCAGAAGCCGAGGAAGAGCAGACGAGAAGCCGCGAGGCACCTGCACCGGCAGCCGCAGCAGCAGCAGCTTCGTCGGAGTAACGTCATCCCATGGGCGAAGAGGACTTCAGGCGAGCCAGCGAGGCCGTGGCCGAGATCCTGGCGGAGCTGCGCAACGGCGGCCGGTCGGCATTGGAGGTGCATGACGATAGGGACAGTTTTGAGGAGGCCTTCATGGATGCGCGTGAGGGGGAGGAGGAGGGGGCCGACAACGGCATGATGGACAGCTACGAGGGTGGCGAGCCGCAGGGCGGGGACGCAGAGGCGCCTCATGCGGATCCAGACGCCAATATGGATCATGACCATGCGGACGCGCTGCACGAGCCGATCGAGTAAGCGGGTGGATGGAAATTCGATCGCAGAGAGAGGACTGTATCCATCCATCCATCCACCCACTTGGCTGTGATGTTTGTGTTGTCACTCTCTCTCCCTCTCCCTTGCACGCCCTTCAGCTTGGCCGCGCTGTTCCCCGCCCACCTGCAGGTGCCTGACGACTGGCACCGTGCGCTGCTGCACGGCGACCATCCTGAGCACCACGATGAGGGCGAGGACGACAGCAGCCCCCACGACATGGTGGTCGTTCAAGACCAAGACGAGGGAAAGGAGCCGTCCGACGACGAGACCATCGACTACAGCCTCAACGGGCCCTTCCACATGCGCCACGCCGCCCCCAGCACGCCGCCACACACACCACACCCACCGTCACTGCGGGCGAGGCCAGGCGGCTCTCCGATTGGCTGCTGGTGGGGTCATCTCAGGCGGCCCTCTATCTGATGAAGCCTGACTTCAACCAGACCGACGCACAATGGACGGCGACAGAAAGGGGGTGGCCGAGAGGGTCAAAGATGCGGTCAGCCGGTGTCTTCAGCCATTCAGAGGTGGGGGGGGGCCGTTCTTGGTGGCGAGACAGAGAGCAAGGGTGAGAGGGGCCAGACGATGCGCGAGATCATGATGGAGGTGGCTGACCAGGAGGAGCAGCGACTGGCCGCAGCCGACGAGCAAAGGACGGCAGAGAGGACGAGCCGGCGGCGTCATCTGCGGGTGGGGCTGGTGGGGGTTGGAGGGTATCGATGCACTCTCAGCCTCAAGGTGGGTCGGTGTGAGAGCAACCAATCAGCCAGCGAACAGACAGACAGACAGACAGACAGGCGCACCCAACCAAGACACACGTCTTCTTCGTTTGTTTATGTGTCCATCCACAACACAGGCTCGTGTGATGAACGTGTGGGCCGGGCAGCCCACCCGCTTCCAGGTGGGCGGCCTCAACCGGCTCTCCTTCTTCGAGTGGGTCCCGCAGCTGGGCGTCCTCGTCACCGCCTCCAAGCGCGGCCCTCCCGTCCTCGTCTACTCAATCATCCGCTGCAAGCACACCCAACGGCTCTACTTCAAGGCCAACTGCCGCGTCATGGACTACCACAGACACGTCGACCCCGCCACCATCTCCGGTAATGGCGGCAATGGGGGCGACACTACTGGGAGCGAGATGGCGATCCGTTTCGGCCAGCGCACCCTGCTGCTGCGGCGGGAGAGGCCAACGCGAGAGCAGGATGGTGAGGGGGCAGAAGGGTCCCCCCATCGCGGCAGAGGGGCGGCGCTCTTAGGCCGTCTGCTAGGTCTGACAGCGAACTGACAGCTGCCGTGCAGGAGACCGCCACCGGACAGGCAATGCAGCCACGCGACGCCGCCCATGACGAAGCGGCACCCTATGTCAGTTGTGTGTGTCAGTTGTCATCATCGGCAAGCAAGCCGCGGACCTCCGCGGACCTTGACCCGCGGCGGCGACACGAATTCCCACGGCGTGCAGAACACTCTGCGCTACACCCCTCTCCCCCAAGTCAAGCTGACTCCCCGAGGGATCGTGGGCCTCTGGATAGCTCCAGCTTTGATGGCGGACGGACGGATGTATTGTAGCAAGGGAAGAGGAGGATGAAGAACAGATTTTTACGTGCGTGAGCGAGGAAAGGGGGGGTGGGGGTGGGGTGCCTGTGTGTCGCAAATGGTGCCCGGCATGGCCCATGTATACATATGAGACTGTGAGACTGGAGATCTTTCCGTCGAAACGAAACAGACATTGATCGAATTCATCGACTTCAAGCCCGGTCAAGAAGCGCCCCCCATGGGCCACGCATGCCATGCGCCAACACAAGTGTGCCCACAGAAGGGCCTGCCTGCCAATATACAGGCGCATGAATGGCCACGAGTCACCTCTACGCTGCGAGTCTGACTGAGACAGGAAGCGGCTGGTTGGCGATCCTTCGCCTGACTTGGTGGCCCTGCGGCCTCCCCTCCCGCTCTGTGCTGTCCTCTTCGTCCCTCTCCCTCTCTCTCCTTTCCCTGGGGTGGTCCCTCTCCATCTCTCTCTGCAGCTGCTGCAGCTGCTGTGGCTGCCCACTCTTGACGTGTCTCTCCGCCCTTTTTCTGTCTGCAGAGTGTCTGCGGCCCTCATTGTAGCAGCTAATGTTCCTCGGATGCAGGTAGCTGTTAAGGTAGCGGACGCTCTCCACCCGATCGCGCGCACGCATGTCCTCGTGGGACCGATACCAGTGCTCGAAGGGGATGGGCCGACCGAACTCCGTGTACTGATCGTTGCAATAGCCACCCCGCATCATCGCCATCTGCTCGTGGGGGTAATAGTTGCCCCACCGTGCCGGCGGCGAGCAAGAGCGAGGGATCGGCAGCAGACCGTCGCTCTTGTTGTCATTTGTGCGGGGGTTGGAGGGGCTGGGGGGCCGGGAGGCTGAGGTGTGGGAGTGGACTCTTGGCGAGCAGCGCTTGATGTACTTTGCACACTTCATCCAGTCCTGCCACGTGTCCCTTGTGGAAAGGTCCAGCTTGGGAAGCGGCATCTCCACATTCAGCGAGTTAATAAGGCTGAAATCGGGCGACCCTGCAGCAGGGGAGTTTGCAGGCTTGGCCACAGCAGGAGACGGCTGAAGCCACAGACGGCAAGAAGACTACCAACACTTTGAGCGTGCCCTGGTGAGTTGTGTTACCGTCTCTCCGCTGTTGCTGCTGTCAATGATCTCAGTCGACGCCGTCTGGTTGCCCTTCGATGTCTCCGTATCCTCACTGGTCTGTCGGTCGTTCTCAGCAGGCAATTGCTGCTGCTGCTGCTGCTGGTGGGAACTGTCACGACGACGCCGGGCGTCCAACGAAAACACTGGCAGCGTCTGAAGGCAACAACCACAGGCACATTCCATGCCGACTTGCCTTTACTTGATCATGTCTCTTGCCTGCAAACGGGCCAAGTCACCCTCTCCCTGCTGTGGGGGCAGGGAAAGCGGCTCGGCTTCCCGCTCCCATCCCTCCGGACCCTGCGCACCACCATCGAACGCCATCATCTCATCAAACGACACTGGAGGCGGCGGGCATGACGGCGGCGGCACATTGACAGTCCCAGGCAGCGGCAACAAGCCCGGGGCCTCCCTGATGCTGTGTGACGACCTTCTCCGCGGCCGATGCTCATGTGGGTGGAGGGGGGGAGACGGCGGGCGATAGGAACACAGCAGTGGGGGCGGGGTGGGAGGGGGAAAGGGCAGGATGGCGATCGGCGGGCCAGGCACAGGTGGTGGACGGCAGTCGTCTTCGAAGAAAGGAGGCCGGAACGGCTCCACTGGTTGAGGCAAAAAGGAAGGCGGCACGCTAATTGGCATTGGCATTGGCATTGGCTCGAATGTCTTCGGCGGCGGCTCATCGGGCGGCGGGCCTCGAAAATGCTCCGCCGCACGGACGGCAGCCAGGACAGCGTTATCAAGGGCAAACTGGACTGTGGCGGGCTGCCACTGCTGCTCCTCCCACCAACGCGGAGGAAGCGATGTGCGAATGACATTCCGCTTGTGTGCGCTGAAGATGGCCTCCAGTGTGAAGCTGCACTCGTTGGATGGCGCACTTAGGGGCGGAACAGAGGAGGGACACGCAGCAGATGACTGCTGGTCGAGCGCCTCTGCCGAGTCACAGAAGGAAGGGTCGGGAACGGACGAAGGGCTGTTGTCGTTTTCGTGTCTTCGCTGGCAGAAGGCCTTCTGCTGCGCCTTTTGGATCATGTCCATGGTGTCCTGATCCATGGTGCTGGTCTCCTCTTCCACCTGCTGCTGCTGCTGCTGCTGGTGGTGGTGGTCGTTCTCAGCAGGTACATCCTCAGGGACGGACGAAGGAGCTGGCACACACGACATGGGCAGGGCATCAGGGTTCTGCTGCACCATCTGCAGCGCAAAGAGGAAGAAGTCCATCTGTTCGGGGGTCAGCTGGGCCATCAGCTCGGCAGGCATAGGAGGGACAGGGAAAGGGAGGGCGCCGTCAGGGAGAGGCTGCTGATGCATCGACAGGCCGCCACCGAGAGCGGGGGGAGGGTGGGGAGGAGGGGGCATGAGAGGCATCAACGGCTCCATTGGCATACACGCTGGGGCTGGAGACGACGGCTCGTTGGATGTCGTTGAGGCTTCTTCGGGCGGCCCCAGTGCAGAGCAAGTTGGCGCAAAGTCGGCAGACTGCATGACGCGTGACACTGTTGATAGGGAAGCGGTCGTGACACGCCTTTGGACTGAAGAACAGCCACCAATAGAGAGTCACTCCGGTAGAAGAACAGTGAAGCAATGGCTGTGAAGCTCACCCAGCGAAGAGCTGGTGAGCGTCGTGGTCTAGCTCATGTTCGGTGAATCTTGCGGTCAATGCAATGGGGCTGCGGCACTCGGACAAGGAAAGATAACTGCGGGCGGAACAGGCGTAAAGAAACCCAGGCGTCACCAGAATGGGGGAAGCTTGCAGTCTTGAGCTCGCAATGCCGCCTCTCCTCCCGTGGCGATGATGGAGTCACCATCGAAAAGACGAAGGCTGTCGTGTGCAGAGGTGAGAACGGATGTCACCAGGCAGTTCAGTTGCTGGGATGGGCTGCAGCGAAGCCTGCCTTCTTGTCCTGTGTTCATTCATTCAGGTGGAATCTCTCGACGCGCTGTACGGGGCGGATGCACATCTAAAGTGGGCGGAGGGCACGTATGACGATGTGGCACAGAAGATACGAGAACTGCGCCGACAGGTGAAGACCACACACAGAGATCCGAGACGAAGACCAGGTGTGTGGATCTCTCTAGGTGGGTGAGGTATTCGAGCTGAAGCAGAGGAAGGAGCAAGAGCTCGGCAAGGAAATCTGCCCCAACGTAGCCAAGGTGAGTTGAGTGAGCTACCACAAAATGACACTAATGCAGTCAGTGCCTTCTGACCATTCTGCCCGTTGCCTACCCTACCTGCCTCTCCTTGCCTGCCTGCCTCCATGTGTGTGTGCAGATGGTGTGTTTGGATTACCAGAGAGTTGCGGCCCTGCTGCGCAAGATAGCAAACGCCGACGTGACGCCTTCCACACTGGACATCCTTATCAGCATCGCCCAGCAGAAACTCTCTGCCATCACCCACAACCTACGCCTAGATGTAAGGATGGTTACAGAATGACGGCCGCCCACGTGCAGTTGGACAGAGAGGGATGGCACGTGTGTGTGTGTGTGTGCTGTGTTCTGTTCAGTCGTTGGCCCCGTCGCTGCTCACCCTCCCTGACGCCTTGCTGTTTGACCGACTCGGCCCACTGCTGGGCACTGAGTCCATCATCGGCGGCCTCTCACGCGCCCACTCGTCCTTCCTGGGCCCCTCCCGCGACCCCGACATGCACACCACCATCACATTCATGGCGGACCGCAAACGCCGCGCCATCCGCCTCACCAGGCAGCAGCTCGAGGCATGGCGGCCCCGGCTGGCCAAGACCCGCCGGGCGGTGGTACGGTGTCATATGAACATGAGCATGGTGAAGCTGCTCGACGGCGTTAGTAAGAGCCTCGAGAGTCTAGAAGCCGACAGCCACAGCGTCAAGCAGCACGAGATAGCCTCTCCGGATGACAAGGGTAGGAAGCCGGTGGAGTTCCCACGGTTGAAGACGGTAGTGGTGGGCGGGCGGTGGGCGTACGTCTCATATGAGCGCTCCTGGAGACTGTGGTCAGTGACAAACAGCACAACACACATCCAAAAGCCAGAAACACACCACACCACCCGTCCCTGCCTGTCGTGTGTGCCGCAGGTCGCTCGAGTGTGTCGAGCTGCGCAAGTTGACCACCAGGAGCAGACGGCGCACGACATCGAATTTATGGATTGGGAAACATGGTATGGGCGCGACTGGCTGGAGGAGCGCGACGGCGTGCACACCGTCAGCACCGTCACCCTCTCGCCCCCATTCGCGTGGGATGCGCACGACGCGATGCTGCTTGTCGAGCTCACGAGCGTCGACACGGTGACGAGCTTCAGCATCACAGCGGACATACCCGACCTGGATGCCTGGATTGACGACTTCGGTACGCCGATGAGGTCGCTCGAGGACATCGAGGCGACCATTAATGCCAAACAGATCACCCCAAACATCATATCGGTGAGTGGCCAATGATGCGCACGCACACAAGGGAGTGGTCATCTGCACCCTGTCCGTCGCCTGTGGTGTTACACAGTCGCTGAATGCGGTTCATAAGTACTGTGTGGACCCTCACTGCAAGGAGGACTACAGCAGCAGCGTGTTTGACTTCCCCTTCACCCTCCTCTGGCCCACCAACCCCGGCAGCCCCATCCACAACATCTACGACGACGAGAGCCCCGCATTCGAATCGTCCACCCTCACCCTGGTGGCCTCCCTCGCCACATCGCTGAGCTTCCCCACCAGCCTCGCACAGGACACCATCATCCCGGCCTTCTACTCCCTGCTGCCCAAGCTGGTCTTCAGCTCAGCCCGCACCCTCACCCTGCAGCCGGCCAGGGACACCGACAACCCCCTCCCACAGCCACTGCTCTTCAACATCGGCCGCGTCTTCCCATCGGTGCGGTCCATCGACATGGGCAAGGCGCACCAGCTGGGCGAGGAGGCCGTCGTCAAGACGATAGACGACCTCCCATCGCTGCGGGTGGTGTGCTTCGAACGGCAGCCCTCTTTTCATGAACAGCCGGTTTTCCTGCCGTCCTACCTGCGCAACTGTGCCAGTGGGGGGCGACTGCTGCACGTCAAGTGTGCGTACTACAAGTCCCTTGACGGCAGCGAGGATTGGTCGCTGTGGGAGGGGCAGCCAGATGAGGGCAGTGAGGATGGGGCGGGTGGGGCGGATAGCGGCAGCAAGATGGAGATAGATGTGTCGGTGGGGGAGGCAGAGGGCGACAAGTGCAGCAGCAACAAGGGAAAGGGAAAGGGCATAGAGCATCGCATCCAGCACATTAGCGTATTTCTCGCTACCAACTTCGCTGCAGAGGGCGGAGAGGGAGATGAAGACGAGGAAATTGGAGGCAGATGAGGGCGAGTTGCTACTACGTTTGCCAGTCTGGTCTCGCCTCTTTCGCACATGCGTCAATGCCATCTCCTCCCTGCCTAAGCTAGATTACATCACACTCACCACCGACGATGCACTCCCTGTCGAGTCGTTGCACGATGATGGGGAGGCAGGCGTAGCCGAGCGGCTGAGCCCTCACGGGTTCGCCGCTGTGCAGGCAGGCCCGTGTAGTGTTGAGCTGTATCGGGAGGGGCTGCCCATCACGGCGGGCCAGCGACTGATCACTGACTACTTCTCGCCCATCTGTGTCGATAGCAACGAGATGGTTGACTAGATAAGGGTGCTGACTGACTGGGTGTAGTCTGTTTGGGGATGTGTGTACAAATGGAAGATTCCTGGCTTGTCATTGGTGTCTGTGTAGTGCGTGTGATACCGTTGTCACGTCTGTGGTGCGGGCGTTTCCTCTGTACCTTGTTGAGGTCATGTGTGTCGTTTCTGGCCATTCCATGGGCCGTGAGCGATCCCGATGGCCTTCGATGAGGTGCAGGGGAGCGCATTTGGCCCACTCCACTCATGTGCCTTACGGACTTGACGGTTACAAAAGTCTCTTATGATCATCAGAGAGCTGTGGGCGCACGGATGTGGTGTACAGACTGCTGCATGCTTCCGTGTGCGCCTGCTGTATCCATATATCTCTCTTGTGTACGGCTGGAACGGTTCCTGGAGGGTCGGGGGGTCGTAGCTAGACGCCGAGGAGTGCGGCGGCACCGGCACCTGCGCCGAGCTGTGGTGTCTCCCGATGTGTTGGGAGAGCTATGGGTGATTTCATATCATGCTTGCATGTGTGTGTATGAATGAATGGTGATGGTTTTCACCTTCATTCGCATTGACCCTCGATGAGTGGAAGGCTGTTCATGAGGTGCATCGGCTCGTGGAAGGAACTAAGAGAGACCTGGGTGTCCAAATGACACCTAGGTCAATCACGACACTCAGTGTGTGGCCACATGACACACACACACTCAGAGAGAGAGAGAGAGAGAGGGAGAGGGAGAGAGAGAGAGACGGAAACACAGGCTACCTGATCCTCTGTCTCGGTCGGTCGATCCATCCTTCTTCTTCTCGATGTGGGGAAACTGTCATTAACCGTAACACTCGTCTGTGTGTCCGTGATACTCATACAAATACAGTCCCATCAGCACGCAGACCCAAACAGGCTCAAGGGGAGGAGGGATCAATCCCCGCCCCATCAGCACACCCCAGTCCCGCAAACCCTCCCCTCCCTCCCCCACGCAGACAGAAGCTAGTCGCACGCGCGAGGGCGATAGACAAGCGAGAGCGAATCCATCCAGACACATGACTGAACCCCCGACCCTTCCACCCCTCCTTCTCCAACAGCGCATGAGCCATGTGGGCGATGAACACGTTGGCATCGTGTCCCCACACACCGTCACACGTCACCACCAGAGGGC